ATAGACACAACCACCACCACATAATCACAACCAGCACCACACACAACACAACACCACCACGTAGATCACAACCAGCACCGCACACAACACAACACCACCACCCACAGATCACACACACCACCAACACACAACACACCACCATCACACACACGCAACCACAATAGATCACAACCACCATCAACACAACACACCCACACCACACACAACACAACCACCAACACACACACAGCACACCACACACAACACACCACACCACACACAAACACACCATCACCACACACAACACAGCCACACCAACACACCCACACCACCACACAGATCACAACATCATGCATTACCCACACCACACCACCACCACACACACCCACACACCACACACAACACACCACACACAACCACCCACCACACCACACAAAACACACCCACACACACACAACACAGCCACACCATCACAAACCATGCATTACCCCACCACCCCACACACACACCCACCACCCACACACAACCACAACACACAAACAACCACCACCACACACAACGCCACACCACACACACACACACATTGCATTACCAACCTGCAACTTAGCAACAGCGACGCAACACTCCCGTCATTGCAAGAACAAGACCTTTCGCGTCAACATCTGCAGCTTGACCAGACAATCGATAACAAAGGGCCAGTGCCTCACGTGGCCCTGTTATCAGGCACTCCTCCCTCCCCCCCTAGCCCCACCCCTCGCCCTCCCTCCTTGTTCACTCTCTCTCCCCTCCTTGTTCATTCTCTCTCTCCCCTCCTGGCACGATTTGTTCACTCTCTCTCTCCTTCTTTCCGTGTTCATTCTCTTCTCCCTTTTCCTTCCTGTTTTTTTACCACCTTTACTCTTTCTGTTTACTCTACCCTCCTTTACTCTTTCCGTTTACTCTCTAACTCTTCTTTATTCTTGTTTATTCTCTCTCCTTTACTCTCTGTTTACTCTACCCTCCTTTACTCTTTCTGTTTACTCTCTAACTCTTCTTAATTCCTGTTTACTCTCCCTCCTTTACTCTTTCTGTTTACTCTCTAACTCTTCTTCCTTCCTGTTCACTCTCTCTCTTTCCGCTGTCTGTTCAGTTTCGCCCCCTCCCTTCCTGTTCAATCTCTCTCCTTACTCTATTTATCTTCTCTCCTTTCCTTCCTCTCCATGTTCACTCTCCTCCTCCTCCCTCCCTCCCTGTTAACTCTCTCCCTTCTGTACTCAATATTTACTCTCCCCTTGCCTCCTCTCCTCTCCTCCCGTCACTCTCCTCCTCTCCCTTTTCTCCTCTCTCCCTATCCATTCTCTCCCTCTCCCCTTTCCTCCCTATTCACACTCTTCCTCCCCCCCACCCCACCCCTCTCCACCCTATTCATTCCCTCCCCTCTTCCCTTCTCCCCCTCCCCTCCCATCCCCTCTCCCTATTCACTCCCCTTCTCCCCCCCTCCCCCCAATCTACCGCGCATGCGCATGACAACTTGGCACCATGTACATCCGCTGCCAACTATAGGATTTTGCAGCACTTGTACGGCTGCACTTGGTAAGTTGGTGGGGCTGTTTGTGGGAATGGCAGCGCCGGCATTCCGTCATGCACCACGCATACACGTGTGGAAAACACCTACAGGTATGCATGGGAATACAAAAGGAAGGTTCGCTCGGAAGGACACAAACAATTGAACAACTTATACAAATGTATAAAACAAACTTATACACACACACTCTCACACCACACTACACACACACACACACACACACAAACACACACACTCACAAAAAAACAAAAACAACAAGGAAAGACAAAGATATCTCTTAATGAAAACCTGGAAATTGTACCGTGAAAAAGGTAAATACCAAAGCATCAATAACATCCATCAAAAGAAGAACAGAAGACACGAACAAACAAGAAAAAAAAAGAAGAAAAAGAAAAGAGAAGAACAATCAAAAAACAAAGCATCAACATAAAAAGAAGACAAGAAAAGAAAACTCATGAAAAGGCAACTCGGATCCTGCAAAACCACGTGGCACTGTTTCCCTGAACAAAAGCTTGGGACAATCACATGGCAACGTTTCCGTGGACAATAGCTCGACCCCATTGTCATTCCTGTCATCAATGCCAATCATCGCGGGCAAAAAAAAAAAAAAAAAAACAATAAAAAAGGAAATAACAAGAATCAGTGCCATCCTAAACAATGTGTTTGTGCCGTCTCTTTGTGGCACATGGCGTGACACGGCTGCCCTACGCGTGCCAGGTGCCATCGCGAGAGGGACATATGGCACCGTCTTCTCCCCCCATAACGCGGCCCTGTCCGCATGACGAATGGCACGGCCGCCCACCTGGCACCCCCGCCGCGATGCCCATTAAAAGAGGAATTAATCACCACGATGTGCCACAAAGAGCGGCCACGCCCAGGCGCCGCCCTCCACATCCCCATCTGGCACCCTGCATGCCCAGCGCCGCCCGTGCATGACAGCGGCTTTAATCCGTTCGGGGGAAGACAAAGGGGCCGCCGCCGCCGCCTCTCCGCTCTACCTACCTCCAAGGGCCGACTCCGAGGGCGCTCCCGACGTGGCACTTCCCTTGGGCACCTCCCGGACGTGGCACCCGAGCACTGGGGGGCCGCTCGCACCTCCACACCTGCCTGGCCCGGGCCGCCCCGACGCACACACGCACACACCTGATCAATGCGTCGGGCCAGCTCGGACGGGCCACGCGGCGGCTCGGGGCTGCCCACGCCCCGCGCGCCCGGAAATTGGGGCTTCGACGCTTCTTTGGGGCTGCCTCGTCGACGCCTTCTTTGGGGCTGCCTCGGCGACGCCTTCTTTGGGGCTGCCTCGCCGACGCCTTCTTTAGGGCTGCCTCGGCGACGCCTTCTTTAGGCTGCTCGGCGACTTTCTTTAGGGCTGCCGGCGACGCCTTCTTTGGGGGCTGCCTCGGCGACGCCTTCTTTAGGGCTGCCCCGGGATACGCTTGTTCCGGGGGGGGGGGGGGGACGACACGCCCTCGACCTGGCCTTGTCCTTCTGCGCCCGCAGGGAAGGTGCTCGGTGGGTGGGCGTCCAAAGGAAACGGCCGCCTTGTTGAGAGGGAAGGGGGGGAAGGGGGGGTCAATTATGAGGAAGGGGGTGGGGGGGGAAGAGGGGAGGGAGGGGAGGGGAAAAGGGAAGGGGGAGGGGGAGAACGGAGTGGAGGGAGAATATGCAGAGGAAGAAGTAAAAGAGAGAAGAGAGAGAGAGAAAGGGGGAAAGAGAAGAGAGGAGAAGCAGCCGAAGCAGTGAGGAAGCTTAGAAAGACAAATCAACGAATGAGCAGAGGAAAGCGAAAGAGAGAGAGAGAAGAGCAAGCGAGGAAGCGAACGAGGGAAGAGCAGAGGGACTCCCCGAACGACCGCCTAGACCCTGCGAGTCGCGCGGGCGTCCGCGAAACGACGCGGGGCGTGGGAGCATCGTCGACGACCAGGCGGAGGAGGAGAAGGAGGATGAGAAGGAGGAGGAGGGAAGGAGGGCGGGGGCGACGTCGAGCACGGGCGGCAATCCAGAGCAACGGCGGTCCAGAGGCAGCGAGACCCGCGAGCAGACTGCCAATGCACGCCGGCCGCCCACATGCACGCACGCACGCACGCTCGCTCCACATACTAACGCAGGGAGTTTTAAAGCCGATGGGGAACGCAAACCGTCGGCGCCTGTCTCGCGGCGGGCGCGCGTACGAGGACGTAATCCCGCCCGCCGCACGCACACACACCTCGCTCGCACGCAGATCCCCGCCTTCCTCCTTCGTCTCGGGCTTATCTTTTCTGCTTTGTTTTTTTTTGTTTCTTTTTCTTATTTTGTTGATGTAGTTTTTTTTCTTTTTCTTTTTCTTATTTTGTTGATGTAATAATACGTCTAAATCAGAGTCTACATTAAGCGACGTCGGGGAAGCTGGTGTGTACACAAGCCGCTGTTGAGAAGGGCGGAGGCACGCGAGGGGAGGGGGGGGGGAGGGGGGGAGAGGGAGAGGGGAAGGGGGGGTAGACGGAGGGGGAGAGGGGAGAGGGGAGGGGATGGGGGGTAGACGGAGGGGAGAGAGGGGGAAGGAAGGGGGAATGGGGTGAGGGGGGGAAAGGGAGGGGGCTGGAGAGAGAGGGGAGGGGGGGGGAGAGGGAGGGGGTAGGGGAGATGGGGAGGGAAGGGGAGGGGCAAATGGGAGAGGGAGCGGGAGGCGAAGGAAGGAGAAAGAAAGAGGGGAGAGAGAGGGAAGGAAAGGGGAGGGTCGGAGGAGAGAATGGGGAGAGAGAGGAAATAAGGAGATAGAGAAGAGAGAAGAGATAGAGATAGAGAGAGAGAGAGAGAGAGAGAGAGAGAGAGAGAGAGAGAGAAGGAGAGAGAAGAAGAGAGAGAGAGGGGGGGGAGGAGAAAGAGAGAAGAAGAAAGAGTGAGAGAGAGACAGAAGTAGAAGGGGAGAGAGAGGACTCGAGAGCGTTATCTTGGCAAAGAAATAGAGATATATATGCATCCAAGATCGAAAGAGAGAAGAAAAAAGAAAGAAAAGACTCAAGTCTAGAGATAGAGTCCTATCATCTCACACGGATATTGTAAATGCATCCAACGGTTTCCTTGTTCCGGTCAACGCTTTAATAAAACGACGAATAAAGAAAAAGGAAAGAACGGCACATTCCATCCCTTACAGACGTCCTCCTTGGCAAAACATAACCAGACACACACACACGAACACAATATAACGTACGATAAACAAACATACATA